GTGGACATAGCAATAAACCAAGAGAGGATAATAATCAAAGGAAACTAAATGGAAATGAATGAAGAACAAAATGCAAGAATAAACTAAGAAACTAAAGTAAATACAGAGGCATAAACTGATATGGCAAGACCTTTTGAGCAATAATTAATACAGAGGACTGTATGGCAAGAATAAACACACTATTTCCAGATAAAAGGTAAAATAATATTGATGAAGTGTCATGGGTTTGTTGAGACCACATCTAGTACTGAGAATAAATATATCTTACAGATCATAACAGTAAATAACTTATCACTTATTCATGTTTTTAATTAGATTTAAGAACCAGATTTGTTCTTTGTAATTTCTGTCCAGTAAAACTATTAATCTATAATCAATAGATAGGTCTGTATAAAGATATAATCCATGTTTCTGTCTCATATTTCTATGGCATTAAAGGACCTGGATCTTTTGTTTTTCCACTGAAAGCTCTGGTTTGCACAGTAAATGCTATGTGGGTGAAATTTTATGGATGATACTCTGATGTCTCATTCTCCTGAAGGCAGCACAGAGCTGCACCAACAGGAACTGACAGAAACAATGAAGAGAAGAAGAGTTATGATTAATGTAGTTACAGTTCTATCCATGTTTTAATGCTGCAGAGCTCAGTCGTTTTGTAAATAGATCAAAGTTTAAACTGGCATGTTGTACATCTTTTATCTGGTCATTTTGGGGTATATTTAACAACTAGAAAATGACAAAGAACACGAATGGGAGGCGGTGAGGGACCTGGATAAAGGCTAGGGGTTGCTGGCCTGAAAAAAGTTGAGAAACACTGATTTCGTTGGTAATGTTGCATGTTCTAAATTACTTGCAAAAACATTGACTGAAAGGACTCTTATTTAATGTTGAGGGATTTTTGCCTGCAAGGCTAACCTTTAGGGCACAGACATTTTACATTTTGTTTTGAGTTGAAATGTTCTGAAGTCTTATTGAAGTTTGAATGTTTAGCTTGTTAATTGTATTGTTAGAAGCAATTGTTTTCACTATTCAAAGACACTTTTTATTAAACTGTGGCAATAGCAATGCTATAGTTAATGTCTATCATAACTATAAGTTTCAGGCTCAGGATTTTTTTTTTTTTTTACTTTAAGCCCTGAGTTTCTAAATTAGCAATTTCCTCTGTTCCAGTCTGGTTTCGTGCTGTCCAAACCAAAATAATGCAAGAGTGTAAAGTCTCTGAACACTTTCTGTTCTCCAGCAGCTGCTGCAGGATGTTTTTGATTTCATATTTGGTCCCGTGTTGAGTCAAACACTGGTAAACCTCAAAACTTTGTGAACGTTTGGGTATTTTCAACAAAAGCTGATCGCTCATTTTCTGTATTTGAACAGAAAGTGTTCAAAAATGACAAACACAACAGGAATCGATACAAAAATCCTTTATTTGCTCTGCATGTCCATCATCACGAGAACATAGACAAGCCTGTTGTTACACATTGACTGAAAACTCTGCTTTGTCTTCATTACATGTGACGCATCTTTCATATGAATTAATGTTTCAGACAAAAACATTTTGTGTGAATGGAGTGTTGTTATGTCTTTGCACGCAACAATGCACGTAAAACAAGCAAAGTCCCTTAAAAGAGGAACATTTGCTCTTTTATTAAGCAAGTTGGCACAGTATCCTGACTTCTTGATTGAAAGTTCAGAGCAGCTGCTTTTTAGTTTTTGTAGAGGTTCATTTTGACCTTCTTCCTCCACTGCTGCGATGTGTATTTTTAGACTACCACAATCGAGATCAAGCAGACATTCACGATGGGGATTAAGGATTAGGACGCTGGATTATAGTACTCAAGACTGCATCTACGACGTTACAACCAAAACAGCTCGGCTCTCTGAATAGCAGCCTCCACATTTGTTTGTACCCTTCACAAAGATTCGTACAAAGCCTAATGACTAGCATCATTTCTCCCTGAGAAATTTGTCACAGAATAATTTTAACTGCCTCCGTCGTTGTGCTGACTGTACACTTTAGCAAGGCTAACTTAAAGGTGGGAGTTTGTTCCTTTTCTGTGTGAGATTAAACTGCTGCCAAATAGCAAAGAGGTGAACCTAAATTATAAGGTTTTTGTACATTTTTACGCTGGATGCTACAGATGTCAAGAGGAGACAGAAGTGTAACCTTTAAGTCGAGGTGCTCTCAGCAATACGGCATAAAAACAAATGGTATGATTTCAGTGTGTTTGTTTTTAATGGAACATAGATATAATATGTTAGACTGTGATCCTTTCAGGTCAGAAATGCTTCAAGTTTTACCAAATACTCTTTCATATTGTCTTTAAAAGGTATGTAACACACTGGTCTTCATTTACACAGTTCTGCTAAACAAAATATTAATACATAGTCTTGCATACATAAAGAGTCCTCACAGGGAATCATTCATAGTCTCCAACAAGCTGTGAGTGATACAGCCAAGCTTCTTTTTAAAAGTAGAGAAAATAGGTCTGCTTCGCATAAAATGGCCAAAAATCTATTTTACTTCATAAAATCTCAGTCTACCTCCTGTTTCCTTTACAAACAGCTCGTTACATTTATGACTCTTGGAGACTCTTGGGTGCACTGATTGCAGTTTTTCTGGCCGATCACCGATCTTTAAAAAGCCTGGCCTGACGATTCCAATTTAGGCAGCTCTCACAGGAGCGCAGCAGCTGAGGTAGATAAGATCGGTGGATAAGCTCTGCTTCACATTTAAGTATCGGCCGAGAAAATCCACATTTTATCGGCTGGCCAATTTATCGGCTACCCCTACCTGTAGGTGGAACCTTTGTGTTAGTAAGAAAGCACCAAATCTGCCTGACAGATGAGACATCAGCTTGGGAAACCCTTCTGAAGAGGATAACAAAGCATGATGAGAGTTGTTCTGATGATGCTGGAGGCAGCGAAACAGACTGAATAATAAGGGTGAGTGGATGACAGCTTAACAAAACTTTTGTTAAAAATGTAAATTTATAGCTGTTATTTAATCTGTAACAAAAAGATGAAATGTCACTTAAATAAAAAAAGTGGACAACTTATGTCCAACATGTCTCTCGCCCAATGATTGCTGGAGACGGGCTCCAGCCCCCTGCTGACCCGACCCAAGGATAAACAGAGAGTGAATGGATGAATGGATGGTCACTTATGCCCTGGATGAATTTTTAAGGCACAAAAATCATTATTGCAACATATTAAATATGCCTTTAAGTAACAAAAATAATTCTCCTAACTTGTAGGTGTTTAGGCATTTTTAAACTACTCGTAAAAGTTTGCTAAAAATCTGGAAAAATTGTAACGAAAAAATTCCATCCACAGGAAAATAAGGTTTTACGCTAAAATGAAAATCATGCTCTGGTTATGCAAAACAAGAATTTAGTAATAAAAGTCCATTCATCACCGTTGGCAATTTGAGAACCTTAAACTAAAATTTAACTTTGTTCCTGTTCACTGACTTCCTGACTGAACTCACCCTAAACTTAACTTTATATAATAATATGCTGAGTGCTCAGGGTTAACAAGCATGCAACGTGTTCACAGCTCTTATGAATTCACATTATTAAACTTCTCTGATAAAAGTCAGGCTGCATCACAAACCGCAAAAACTGGACGCATGTACTTGATCTGCTACAAAGAAAAAAAATAAAAAATCACCAACAGATGCCACTTATACGAACGTCAACGACCAAAACCTCGTATTTTCATATTTTAAAGAATAACTGAATGGCTACATCACATAAACTGAGCCACAACCATTCCTGCCAACAAACTGTGTTTAATATGTTGCAAAGTTTTAAAACCCTTAAATTAAAAATGCTCCTTGGATTTCAGTCTGAATGGCCGAAAAATTTTAATATCTTATGTAGAAATGGAAAACAAATGGAACTGATTTGTAAAATCTTTTTTTTTTTTTTTTTTTAAATAAGCCATTTTAGACATTGTAATAGATAACTGGACTATTAGAGAAAAACTGAACCTGACTGATGAAAAAACGTAACTACTTGTTCTGTTGGATTCAGATTTCCAGGATATATCTCTTAAGTGAACCTAAACATAAACTATCATGTAACTCTGTGCTTCTGTTTTTGCGAAGTATAATAAATACTGATGCTGCATGACACAGAGACATAAAAACCTAACCTATATTACTCAATCACCTAAAAATATTTTGACATTTTTTCAGGCAACTTTTGTTTATTTTACAAATCATGGTCCTTTCTGTTAATAATACACATCATGACTTTTCGCCTCAGTGACATTTATTGATTTTATAATGTATAAAAGAGGTAGCCAGGAAACACAGCACCCTGAGAATGGAAAAAGGGAAGATACATTTCTTTTAGTTTCAGTTCCCGTTTTAAAAATTTCCCTGGATCAGCACTGGATCCGTTTTACTTCTCCCACTCTGGACTCTTCAGAAGGACTTTTCGGTAACACTTTATTTGAAGGGCGTTGAATAAGACTGTCATGACACCGTCATAAACATGACATAACATTATTCAAAATGTCTTCGTTATGACAACTTGACATTAACCAAGAAATCATTACTGTTTAAACTTTACCTTTAATAACATAAAGATACCTAATTTTTAAAGTGCAATCATTTTGAATAATGTCAACTTTGTATTAAAAGTGTCATAATTTACCGAATGACGCTTTATGACAACAGTCATAAATATTCATGAAGGCTTATTGATGTTCATGACAGGTGTTATGTGTTATGTCATGTTTATGACAGTGTCATGTCAGTCTTATTCAACCCCCTTCAAATAAAGTGTTACCAGACTTTTCTGTCATTTTTACCCCCCCACTAACAATCCTGCAACAAATCAATCAGAGTTTAGCCTCTAGTTTCTATGAAAGTTTCTGTTTTATTTGACCACTTAAAATAACAATTCTTCCTTATTTGCACTTCATTCAAGAACTCTTCAGAAACTCAAACTAATTCGAGAAATTCTGGTTTAACAAGCAGCACTTGCACCGAGGACAGATTTTCCCTCAGCAATTAAACCATGTTTCAACATTACACTGCGAGTCAGATGGGGTCAAACTCAGGCTGCAATGGGGTCACAAGTCTATTCAGACGGTAGAAATGATTTGGCTGCATCTTGGGCTCATGTGATGCTTTCTCCATAACGCATAAAGTGCACATTTGAAATGCTTTGGAATGATGTAATTAGAGTCATAAGGGGTAGACGTGTTTGCCCTATACGACATACTGCGTGTGTTCACATGTAGCAATGAGACAAATCAAGACGGTTCCATTAATGATTGAGCTTCTGGGTGAAGTTTCAGACCTAATTTTCTGCATATTTCAAGCTTAATGTGTTTTCTCAGTGGAGTGTTGAAGGAAACCTTTGCTCCTTTGCAGTAAAAATAAGTAAACAGATAATCTCCTAGTTTTTCCCTCTGCATCCTTGAATGAAGATTCATTTCACCTCTGCACAATGAGTTACCCTTTTTTGTTTCTGGCTTCCCTGATGTTATCTGAGCTTCTGGTACAATCTGCGCAGCTCATCCCAGAAGAACAGGGACAGAATGGTGTGTGGGCCGAGTCGGAAATAAGAGGCTCCCAGGCCTTTGTAGAGTCCTGTGAGGCCCTCCTTTTTCAGAGTCTTGGAGAAGCAGTCACTGAATCCTTTGTAAAGCTGCCCCTGTGCGAAAAGACGAGAAAATCGCATTAAATGGGTAAAACAGAAGCTCGCTGTCTTTCCTTTTCATTCCCAGAAAAATTAAACTGTCAATCATCTCGTTTGAAATCCGCCAAGCCACGGCAGGCAGCGCTGTCACGCGGCTTCGTGTGTTTTGTAATTTCTGAAAACGCCTCTCATGACTATAAAGTGTTTGTGCGGCTTGTAACAAAGCCTTGTTTCCTCCACTCAGTGTGTGCTGGACCATGTGTGACAGGTACAACGCGGTACACGCCTCAGGACAGAGATGTCTTCACCTCACAGACTAAATGATCACCTGACTGTCTTGGGCTGCAAGCTAAATGGATCCAATTGGCACACACAAGGGATGAAATTCCCAAGTCACATTACAAACACAAACCTCAACATATTTTCGGGGGTATTTTATGTAACAGAAGAACACAAGTTGTGAAAGGCAGCAATAATAATAATAACAAAAGCATATGGTAAATAAAAGTCAGAAGTCGCTGCGTAAACGACTAAGCAACTATGTGCTCTGGTCAGATGTGATCAAGAATTAAATTACATTGAATATATTTTTTGTGGCAAGAAATTAGCATTGCATGTCCTTTTGAGCACACCATCCATGAGGTGATACACGGTGGTGGCAGCATCGTGTTGTGGAAACTGGTGAGAGTTCATGGAAATATAGACAGAGCTAATTCGTAGAAACTGATGTTCACAGACTCACCTTGGGCTGACGTGGCAAAATATACGGCTTGTGTACAAATGCACACACCACACTTTTCAGGTTTTTATTAAACAGAAACGACAACAAAATAAAAACTACTTTGTGTTGTGTTGGTCCGCCAGATAAAAAGGTTTGTGGTGATAATTTTACAACAATGGGGAAAAAAGTCAAAAAGTATCTCAAATAAAGTTGCAGAAGAAGAGATAATGTCTTCTTATCCCCCACATTTCTCCGGTATCAGGTGTCCTTGAGTTTGAGTTTACACATTTCATGCTCCAGATGACAAAATGACACGACTGTCACAGTTTACTTACAACACCTTGAAGAGCAAAAGGACAATGGACACTATAAATAACCTGCAGATTAAGAGCTTCAGTGAGCCTTAATAACGAACTACGACTTTCCCACAAGAGGAACGCAGCAGTTACTGTCACACCCTTTGCATTTTCAAATGATTCGGCACAGAGAGAGCATTATGTGCCTTTGAATCCTGACAACAATTTGGAGGTGAATGTAAATGCAGATCTGGAGTCCGAAGGCGTCCACACACACATGCACACACGCACACACACACACCCATGCACACACACGCACAAACAGACTGGCCTGAAAGCTACAATTTACATAAACCTGACAGGATTAGGTAAGGATTAAAAACGAATCCATGGCACTGACTAAAACAAAAAGGCATCCTTAGCGAACGTATTTCTTAATTTAATATTAATAAAAACCTGAAACAATCAATTTGAAAGTAAAAATTCTTGTTGCTCAATAGAACGTCGCTCAAGTTGTCATTCAGCATATTATATCATCTCAAGCAACTTACAAGTGCAAAGAAGCTAATAAACTCACACCTGGAATGTTTTCACTTCAGAATGTAGCCAGAAAAATTAAACTGTCAATCATCTCGTTTGAAATCCGCCAAGCCACGGCAGGCAGCGCTGTCACGCGGCTTCGTGTGTTTTGTAATTTCTGAAAACGCCTCTCATGACTATAAAGTGTTTGTGCGGCTTGTAACAAAGCCTTGTTTCCTCCACTCAGTGTGTGCTGGACCATGTGTGACAGGTACAACGCGGTACACGCCTCAGGACAGAGATGTCTTCACCTCACAGACTAAATGATCACCTGACTGTCTTGGGCTGCAAGCTAAATGGATCCAATTGGCACACACAAGGGATGAAATTATTGAAATAACAATCAGAAAATACAGAGCAACTTCAGCCTCTGAAAGCTTTCTGTAGGTCTACGAAGTGAGAATCTTCATGAGTGAAGACAAAATGTCTGCATAGCATAGAAAGAAATAAAGTAATATTATTTATCAGAACGTAGCTTATTTTGGTAGCCTTGTTGTTTTACATTATGCAAACTTTTAATATTCAAAGGTTAAAACTGTTCTAAGTGTCTAAATGGGCATGTGTTACATTACATTTTAGGGTAAATTTATATGAAATCTGTAAGCAAAATCATAGATGTTAGCATCTCCGTGTAGCATAAACACAAGGCATCTGTAGGTCCGATGTCCTGAAAAACACAGACTAAAAACTCCCCCTAAATGGGCACCCAATTATTTCCCTTTATTTTTTTTTCACTTACTTTTCCTGAATGGTCGACAGGCTGGTTGTAGAGTCGCGTGCTAATCACATCGAAAGGCGTCATCGCCAGCACCACCATCACGCTGCTGATCATGCCGGCACTGAGAGGCACGAACCAGCTGTCCTGCGGGAAAACCTTTGCAGAGATGGGAATGTCGTTAAGGCATGCAATGAGCGAGTGCGGGCTCTAAAGCAGTTCTGAGAAGAGGTCTGGCTGTGCAGTGGCAGGAAATGAGCCCATCCTTACATAGCAACTATATCTAATTTTAACTAAGTCAAACAGAGGACTGGTTCTAAAATTAGCACGTGTTACATGCATACTACAGTAGCAACTGGTTACTGGTTTTCAGTATGATAAAGGCATGGAGGAAGTCTTAACATACATTTTTCAATACCGTAATTAGAGTTTTAGAAAAATCTAATTAGAATTGCAGGAAAATGCTTGCACTGTAAACAACCATCCTCTGCTGCAAAGAGAGAAACGCTGATCTGAACGAGGCGGCTGTTAATGTTCATTCAACACTTAAGTGTGAACAACTAGGACTGTTCATTTCCTCTGCTGCCTTTGATAAAATGACAGATTACTACTCTAAAACAGCGTAGGAAATAATTGTTCACAACTTCTCCTTCTGTTCACTGATTGGCCTGGTAGAAAATCGACCGAAGACAATCCAAGTGAATGGGAGAAAGCCCAGACTTTGCTGGAAGCAAAAGCAGCAGAATTGCACAGGAAGACGATGGCTAAACTTATGATGTCTTCTCTAAACCCCACAGGTTTTCTATCAGATTTAAGACAAGGAACTGAGTTGGCTACATTTTGAGTCTGGTGAACCATTTCAGTACTATATCCATCCATTTATCTGGATGGTTGGATGGATGGATGGATGGATGGATGGATGGATGGATGGATGGATGGATGGAGCTAGATATTGAGTTTATCATTATCCAGCTTAAGTAAAAACTATTTACATTTTTATTTTTGTTAACTGCACCTTCAGATTTTCATTTAAAATATCCTCGTATTTTAGAGACTCCGTAATGACATCCAGTCTAACAGGATTCACATCATCGCCTTTGGAAGAGAAACAGGCCCACAGCCTTAAATATTATCCACAGTGCATAACTGTGATCACAGTTGTTTTACCACATAGTAGCAACTCTCAACCCTCCCTGAGGAAAGTATTCCGACTGGAAAAAGTGAAACTTGCTAAGCGACACTGCATTTACTATCCAATATAGCTGCACACATAAAGAATGTAGTGTCCTCAATCATATAAGCCACAAACAAAGCACTTCTGACAGTGTATATTTTAATAAACGATTCTTTTTTTCCCCCCAAGTTCACAATGTCTGTACTACTCTGCTTTCTTATGTTGGTCAATAAGAGCAAGATCAGGTGGTTTCATTTTTGTTCCTCCACTGAAAAACTGCATTTTTTTTTATCTCTATATGTTTCTGTGTAAAATGCCTAGCTCCTGCAATAAAAGATGAATTTATTTAAGAAGTACCAATAAAAGTTTCCATAGGGAACAGATCCACAGTACACCGGTTAAAACCCTTTTACCTATTTAAATGTGTTCTAGTTGTGGACCAGCGAGTGGCAAGCAGCGTATGTGTCTGTTTACATAAAACACAAGGCTGTCCTGTATTTCAGACGTATAGCAGCTTGTAAATGAGTCAGTGTTGGCTGGGATGTTGGGAGGAGAGGTTCGGCCCCGATGACTTTCCACAACGGAGCAAATTACACAACTTTGCAAATGGCTGAATAATTCCTAAACTTCTTCCTGTCAAGTAAAGATAACACTCTTTAATCACCAGAATCCTTCAGGAGTATCAAGGACTCCCTTCAGCTGGAGTCTAGACAGCAAGGCCCACCAGTAAGCTGCAGCACCAGTTGTGTAAGTCGAACGTTTTCAGCCAGAGGGGCCCAGTAAAAGGTGTTAGATTCTGTTCCAGTGGAGCGCATCGCATGGCGTTTTGTTATTTCAACAATGACTGTTTGTGTAATCGGTGCACAGCTACTGACTACAAATGATTGTCTCCGGATCAAATGATTATATTAGTAACGAGGGAGTCTGATCATCTTTTTAACCCCAGCAGCTAAAACAGCTGGAACAATTTGTTCTGTAAGGCTAAGAATAGACCTCAGACCACAAGGTATGGCAACCTTGAGTGAAAAATAGTTTGCAGAAAATGTACATAAATAAATAAAGTGCCTTTAAACTGTCACAACCTCCTCTGCCTTCTCCCAGTGCTCACTAGAAACAACCAATCAGAGAGCCAGGAGGCGGGTGTTAGCGCTGTCAATCGCAATCTTGTGTGGCGCTGCTCATACTGCAACTTTCACGTCGTAATAGAAAAGCAATACTATTTCTAGAGTAGCACTTGATAATAACTGATAATAAAATATGTAATAAACACCTACTAAATTTAGTATTAGTTTTGAAGTGCCTAGAAAATTGAACCTTACAATTATTTCCCTCTTTATAGAGCAACAGTGCTCCCCAGGAGAACCACCTCAACTGACTCCTTTCAATACTGAGAAACAGCAGCTCTATTTCAACCTCAGCCCAGATAAGGAGTTTCCTTTGACTACTACTAAAACTGAGTCTGATCATTCTATGAAGGAAATGGATTTTGGCCACTTGTAATCAGGATCTTCTTCAAACCTTTGACGCATTTAGTGCACCTGATTCCAGTAAACTAAGAACCTTAAATCCCAAATTATTCAGACAGCTCTTTCAAGTTATATGGTTCGTTAACCCATATACTTTCAAACAGTGACGTCATTTATAAAACATGCAAACACCTAGGAAGCTTATAAAACAGAATTTTACATTTTGGCAGGATGCCATCTTCATCAAACCCTAAGAATGAATATTTTCTAACCTTCAGGTCGACGACTAGCTCCTTAGAGGAGGAGAAAGTTGAGAGCTGGGTTGCAGAGCCTACGCTGACCCTTGGTATAGCAGCACTGGAGCCCCTCCACAGTCCCAGAATGCCATGCTGCCTGTAGATGACTTTGAGAGCATGGATCATCCCCTGTCCGGAGAAGAAGGAACACATGAGAAAACTGCATTTACATTTTTCACTGTCACTCTGTGTCACTGTGTTTTACCTCGTGTCTGTGCTGATGTCCCACTGCGATGGAGGAGGTCGACTGACTCTGCAGATGAGTCTTCACCTGTCAGTGTGCAGAGTTCATCGTTATAAGTCAGAGGTGGCACCTGACTTATTCAAAGAGAAGTCAGCTACTAACCAGGTACACAGGGCTGCCCATGACGGCGCCCACCACCCCAGCACTAGCTCCCGCTAACGTGGTTTTCACCGCGCTGACCCTTCCGTTGGTGTGGATGTAACCTGCCGACTCAATGATGGCGTAGGAGCCGAGCCGGACTCCATTCATGAAGAACTGATAAAACAGTCCGGGGACCAGCCCTTTCTGCAAGCCGGCCAGTCCGTCCACTTTACCAATCGTGTAGAAAGCGTGGAAAACGTTGCGATAGTAAACCTGGTAGGTGCCGCGGCTCTTCAGCTCCCCTTGAAGTTGCATCCGCGTCTTGACGACCTCCAGCGGATTGGTGAAGAGACACGCTCCGCAGGCCGCCACGCCGCTCAAGACGAAGTCCATCCCGGTCAGATCGACACAACGGGCAGCGGCGGAGCTAACACTGGTCTCTGTCCTTCATGTTTGTGACATCTTGCTCAGCTGCGATGTCCCCGCCCACTTTTACTGTTTACTGTTTTACTTTTACCCCATCCGCTGTAATGTCACAAGATACATGGCCGCTAACTGAAGCGCGCAGACGTTGCTGCTTCACGAGCTTCCTGTACAGTCGGAATTTTAATAAACAAAGGTCAAACGCGAAGTATCCGCTGAATGCGGAGGAAGAAAATGGCTTCTTCACAAATTTATCTGAATTTAATTCTTATTCTATGTAATTTCCAATTGATTTTAATCAATTTTGTATCTTTAAGTCACATGTTAAGAAATATAAATGACAGATAAAAACGAAGAGAGAAGAAAGAAAGTCACTACTTTCTGTGCTTTCATAATCAAAAATTAGAGGCAACATTAAGCCCATCATAACTAGAAACAGTAACTTGTTGCTCTCTGTTTCTGTGGCACACGATATAGCTACATCAAACCCACATTTACATCTAACCCAGTTTTTAACCCACATTCCATCCTTTCCTTGAACATCTCATCTTAAAAAAACGAAACAATACGAGTGTTCGTCATAATACGTCTTTAAACCTTATCGTAGCCCATCAACAGGCTTTGTCTGTAACAGATTATATTTATAGCATCGTGCATAAAGTAACGAAAACCAAAGCTGCAAAGCGGCGTGTAAAATTGGACAGTGTTTTATAAATAAATGTATGCGCTTCATATTCACTGAAAACACATTTTGATACGCTGTACATTAATCCTCCAAACAAGAAAAATAAAGTTAATCCAAGTTTACCAAAGTAAAATGATGGTGGTGAAGAAAAGGGTTCGAAAGTGGAAAGCCAAATATTGACATCTGACCTTAGTTGGCCACCATTCCTTTACACTAGGGGGCGGCAGCCACCTGTATCTCAAACCGAACAGGCTAAAAAAAAGAAAGAAAATAAATAGATATTAATCATAATTTTAATTATAATAAAGTAGTTATACAATTCTAAAGTAGCAATAAATTGTATATAGCTTGCTCACATAGAGGAAGACCTACAACAGCATCACTGGCTAAGCTGGGAAAACAGTCAATTCAAAACTATAAACTACCTCAATGTAGTAACAAGACTGCTGTTGTTCAGTCTTGGGTTTATTTCACAAACTTTAGATCAGTTTGTGACCCAGCGCACTGGGCTCAGTTTCCAACTCAAAAAATGGTTTAAAGCAAATAATGTGTAACCTAATGGCAATTAAAGCTTGGATTTAAAACTGACCTAAAGCTTAGATAATCAAACAAGTCAGACTTAGGATAAAATCCATTATTTGTAGACATACATCAGTCCAGCTTTACCACTACTATCTCATTGCAGGGTGGTAAGACTAAATAAAAAATGCATGCACATACTTAGACTTAATGCTAATTTAGATTGCTTTAACACATGTCAGTGGATCCACAAAAATAAACTAAAGAAAAAAACCATGCAAACTCCCAATACGCTTTATTTGGGATTCAAGCCAATGACCTTCTTGAAGCAAGGTAACAGTTTCATCACAATGTACCGATGAATAATTACTGAATTTAAAATTATCGGTTAAAAAAACAGCCTCTAATGTCCAAAATAACTTTTATGGACAAATCTTTGTACCTTAATAAAAAAATTCACACTCAGTATAAAACAGGTATTTTTTTTTTAAAATAGAGATTATCTACAATAATTTTATGTCCAGTTCTTTGGTCAAAGTGTGTTAAATTGTTGCTAACAGTTTAGCAGGTGAAAGGCTAATGTCATTTAAGTAAACAAACTGGTTCTTTATAGTTGGAAGAAAAATCATTGACACAGTCCACTGATTAACATCTATAAGCAGCATAATTTTAACATCTTATTTAAGATTCATGGAAAACGTTCAGTGAAGTCTGACCCGGTTATTGTATAGTTCAAAATGCTGGTCAGTGGAGCATAATGAGACTCCTTTTAGTTTCTCCTATAATCCAAGAGGGTCATGGTCTTTAACCCTTTTTTTGTTTGTTTGTTTTAAAACTACAACATCTGCCCCAATAATATAAATCCATCAGTTGGATTAAATAAATGTCAACGGTTTAAGGGGCACATTCTGCAGTCTTTTTCTCCAAACTAATCAGAGTGAACCAAAGTGAGTTCAGCAGAGGTTACCAGGTTAGTCTCATTGAGTTCATGACAGATTAGTGTTGGAGTTGGAACGCTGACATCCAAAACCTCATTTAATTACATCTATTTAATCAGTTGACAAACATGCAAACACTATAGCAACAACAATGTCAATATTTGTCATGGGACTTTTCTTTTCTTCGTTTAACTTTAGGGCATTATTAAACACTGATATGTCCTCTGACGATAAGTGACAAAGGCCTTTCAGTCGGTGTGGAGCAGTTTGCCCTTGCAGCTCCGTTTTGCTGACTCTGTGGAGGGTTTTAAACAAGTTTTTAAAAAACTTTTTTTTTTCCCCCCAGGCTTTTATCTCTTGATTTTATTGTGCTTCTTATGTTGGTTTTGTGTTTTGTATGGTTTTAAGGCTGATTTCTATTGTACAGCGCTTTGTGATTTTATGTCTGTGAAAAGCACTTTATAAACAAACTTTACTTACTTACTTACTTTGCTCACAATAGAATCATAAAATGAATGCGGGGTTGTCACATTTATACATGGCCACTTTACTTAATAACCCCGCCTGGTTGAGTAGGTTTGACTCTGAGCTGGATTAGACTGGAAAATAAAATGTTTTATGTTGATTTGAAGAGCAATATATTAGAACGTTTAATCTTATAATGTGCAATATTGCATGAAGCAATTGTGTTTACTGAGTTAAATTAAATGAAAATAATTTCTTTTCCCTTCAGATTTTGTGATCAGTTAACGACTTGGAGATGTAACTTGATATCATTTTAGTGTGTAAATTGAATTCTCCTCACTTTATAGTAATTGATTACCTATTATGAGCTACTTTGGGCCTCTCTGTGTCCTGTGCTATCACTGTGTCCTCTTTAGCTATGTGATCTAAATCCCTCTTCTCCGTTTCCTTCACCACCCACTAAATCCTCTCACCTGAAACGTACCCTCTTAATGCCGATGTCCTTTTTAAAAACACACAAACGGTTTAAGGAGAGCAGAAGCATTTTCATTAAATTCAAAGTCTTCACTTGATTACTGAGAGGCATACTGTAGGCAGAGAGAAGTTCAAAGGTTATGTTGAATTCTCGTGCCGATGTGAATTTGTCTGAACCTGGTCAGATCTGTAGTGGTTCAATCACCTCACTCTGTGGCATCAAACTGAAATCACATTATTGCTAATTTTATTGCCTCGTTAGGATCTAAAAAATATATCATTAACTAGAATATGGGTGGAAATTATCAGAGAAATGTATCAGATGGTCCTGTTTAAGATTGATTGGATGATTGTGAAAACCCGTGACACTGCACTCTTTAGAAAAACCGTCTCATGAGCTGGATTTCCTGGGACCATGGCTCTTTCTGAGTGTGCCAAGTCGCTTCCGCCTTTTTATTATCCGGCTGTAATCCTCAGCAGCCAGTGAGCTGCCAAGCAGGATCTTAGGAGCAGAGTGAACCTCAGTCTGAAGTCTTCACCTTCCCATCACATCCTACTGTAGGAAGAGGAGGTGAGAGGAGCGCTCTGACAGGACAGAGATCATTTCTGCCTGTGCTGATTGATCTAAAAAAAAAAAAAAAGAAAGAAAAAGAAAACAGCAAATAGGGATAAAAGTATTTATGCTTTTGGATCTAAAATCCTAAATTTTAATCAGCGTTTCCAGGAGCGGAAGAAAAACAACACGGTAAGTACTACTTACTTTGTCTCAGGTATGTTAGAATGAAGAGAACGATCTTTGCAAAAAAAAAAAAAAATTAAAAAAATCACAACATTTCTTGGTTTTGCTGATGATTTTATTCATTGTGATAAATATGTTGAAATAAAACTGAGGCAAAGTGATTGAACATCAATCAAAACAGATTGCTTTCTGTTTATCTTTTATAATTACGTATAACTAAAACAGCACAGTCAGGCTTGGTCTCAGTGAACCATGTAATTTGGGCTAATTAACAGCCATCGGTTTGTTAAGGGTAATTAACGTGAAGATCAGTCATTTATACGGAAAGCCGTGGTGTAAACGGTCAAGGTTAAATGGATTAAAAGCACCTGCAGAGGCCAGCGTGTTACTATCTGCTCCAGCAGGACTGGGTCAGGAATGAAAGAAACAACCAGAGTTACCTGCTGATCCTCTGATCCACATTACAAAAGAAATGCTTTTTAATAATAAAATGTCTTTCTATAAAAACCGTAAAAACCAAAAAAAAAAATGTTTGATTTTAAAAGAGATGTGATCGACTGCTCCTTGTTTTAGTCTTGCAAGGTAAAAATAAAATAGTTACAGTCCTAAACTATTAAACATTTATGAACTGATGATCGTTAATTAAACTAATTAAACAAACGTTTAAAAAAAAATTAAACAATAACAAACAAAAAGCTGTGAGCCATGCAGGAAACCAATCTAGATAAAGAAATATTACTTAGAAATTATTAGAGAGAATAAGAAAATAAATAAAAAAAAATCAGCTGAGAATGAAATGCTTGTTTACATTCACTTGTAATTAATCAAATTCCTAATTTCTTATATATTCAATCATATGGATGTTTCATACAAATTCTGAGAAAACTTTAAGAATCAAGTAATATAAAAATTGTAAAAAAGCCTTTTAAAAATTTCAGTTTAAAAAAAGAGCATTTGAGACGCAGTTTATGAGTCTGGGCATAAGGGAATCTGAAACTGAACAGAGAAATGCTTGATGTAAACCAAATAACAGGACTCCAAAAAGAAAAAGGCAAACGTACAACTGGGAAGCATGGAGGGGTGTGTGTCATGGTTTGTGGGTGTTTTCCAGCAGTAGGTTCTGGTCAGGTCATTACTGTATCCTCCATAATTAACTTTTTGCCAAGTATCGGAAGTTGCATGCAGAAAATGTAAGGGCGATGATACAAAGCACACAAGTAAATCCACCACACAGGCTGAGAATTAAAAAATAGAAAGTCCTGAACAGAGTAAAAAATCAGCTCTTTAATATTCGGAGATGCAGAGGAGTGACTTGAGCAAACAAGAATCCTAAACAAACATCTTAGAGATGAATGTGAATACAACTGTTGTGAGAGACTGGTGTGTTACAGGACGAGTCTCACAGAAAATCGTTTGACCAAAGGGAGCAATACCAGCTATGAGGTGGTACCATGTCCTAACATTTTCCTCAGTTAAAATACTATTTTTTATTCTTTAATTTATTGACTAGAACTTTGTATCTTCTCTCTCTCTCTAACCTGTGGTAAACTACTTTCTATGCTTTTGAAAGCACTGATTGTTTAAAGGGTGTCCTAGTTTTTCCACATGACTCTTTGTAAATACGGATGTTTCTGCTTTGTCAGAAGCGATCATGCGTATCTGACTTGCGAACAGCAGAGTGCAGCAGATCCCAACACGATTTAACACCAGGTCCATTACCTTAATCTGTAGTTTAAAGTAGGTGTCCAGGAGTAGATTAGGCAGCAGACCTTTGGATTAATATATTATAGATAAGTTGCTAATATGTTAGAGACTTATTTAAGTATTTAAATACCATTTAAATACTTAAAGAGCATTTAAGGAATTTTAAATATTTTGGAAGCACAGTTAAAATAAGCATCTTAAAATATGTTTCCCATTTGTGTGTTCAGTTTGCAAAGGAGCCGCCTGAACAAGAAGCAGAAACATTTACAATCTCAGCAGAATTACCTGGTTTTCTAAACGTTGTCACAATATGAAGTCTGATCTTTAATAGAAACAGTGCTACCCCAAAACGTCAACCATTCATCGTTTATATCCGCTTGGTGCCTGACTCCAGTTGTCATTGAAAAGACTGGCGAATAATTTGTCTTAATACATTAATAAATGGTGCCAGAGGACTCACTTCTCACTCAGATCATTTTGATTTATGAATCTGAAGTTACCTATGCTCTACTCCCAACATTTTAATCATGTGACACGTCACTAAAATACACTGTTCGTAACTGTAACATAAATATCTAAGGAGGAATACAATGAAATGAGGTCAGTCACCATGACCTGAGAAACAGCTGCTGGAGAAGGGAAAGATAACGACAGAGGAATCTGAGAAAAACTTTCCAGAAAATGAAGGTGGGAATGTTTAAAAAAAACATATCCCTCACATAGAGAAATGCAGTAGATGTGAAAAAAATTGTATCTCAGCTCCCTTCTTATGTCATCTTTGCTTTCAACTAAATATCAAAATTATTGTTTGTGGCTGAATTAATCACTGGACACCACCAGCATAGTTTTAACCCTCCTGTTATGTTGCGGGTCAAATTGACCTGTTAAAACATTTTTAAAAATAGTTGGAAGTATTTTTTTCTGCATGAAACTTTTTATATTTGTCTTAATAGGTGAACTCTACATATAAATTGAAAATGGTTCATTTTACACATTCATTTTATTGTTTTTTTGTGTGTAGGTTTTTTCAGTGGTCATATGTCCAAATGACTAAATGAGTAAGTTGATGCTTTATTTGTGAGAAGAAAAAAAACATCATTACACAAACATTGATTGCAATTGTTAGTATTGGAGTTAATAATCAGATACAAAAATGTTTTGGAGAATTTTTTTTTTGGTTTCTGACACTATTGCATGATTAAACCCTCCACTCCTGGGTCAAACCGGCCCACAAACATTATTGCTGTACCTTAGAAACGAACATAACAGGAGGGTTAAACGTCATTAATGGCGCCCCCATTTTTCAATCTTTAAAATTATTTTTCAGGATTTATGCCCAGGATTACAAATCATCCATTGGTTTTCAGTTTGAATGGAGCTGATAGGCACTGATCAATAATCAATACATCTTTAAAATATAGAAAAACAGTTACTACTGTTAAAGCAATCAGGAAAGAGTGCCCATGTAACAACTGATGGTAGTTTTCTAAGCTCAAAGCCCTTTAAAGACACTACTTGTGCTTTTCTTGATATTCTTATCCTCCGTCTCATGACAAAGGTAAAGCGATGGACATCGGTGGTTTGGAAACTGTCGTAGCAAACTCAGCTTACGTGTCAGCCCGGGGCGGCGCGGATGGATGTGCAGCAGCCGCCATGCGGGACAAGAAAATGCGTGCCAGGTTGAAACGTCCTCACATCAGAGACTGCCAACACATGAAGACCACTGTAGACACAACCTTTGAAAGCATGTGTACCAAACAGCCCATCGGCAAGCGCTTGTTTCAGCAGTTCCTCCAGAGTAGCGCCACCTACAAAGATGCAGGAGACCTATGGAAAGACATAGAAGACTACGGGATAAGCCAGGAGAACGACAGGCTGCAGAAGGCCCGGAGAATGGTCAACACGCATTATGAGACAGCTTCAAAGCATTTCTGCAGCTTCCTTGAGGAGAAGGCCATCATTCGCGTGAAAGAAGACCTAAAGAACGTCCGTGCTGACCTGTTCAAGGAAAGTGAGCAGCAGCTGCTCCAACACCTGGAGAAGAAGGCCTTAGATGAGTTCAAGAGCAGCAAGTTCTTCCTACGTTTCGTTCAGTTCAAATGGCTGGAGAGCCAGCCCTTTGATGAAGAGTGGTTCATGGACTTCAGGGTTCTAGGTAAAGGAGGGTTTGGGGAAGTGTTTGCCTGTCAGGCGAAAGCAACGGGCAAAATGTACGCCAACAAGAAGTTGGAGAAGAAGAGACTTAAGAAACGCAAAGGTTACGAGGTAAAGCAGTAATTTCTATTGTATAAAATGTTAAAAATCCTTTGTTAAAAATGTTTTCTCTTGGCAACTTCAAGAGAAATTGAGGCACTTTCCTTATGTCCCTTTAAATTTGTCACATTTTGTCATTTAAACACACAAAACTTCTATGTGTTTTATATTGGATTTTAGAGATAGACCAATATCTGCCATTCTATTTATAGAATGGAAGAAATTACTACTTTTTCTATACACACAACTTTGAAAATAGTGGTGTGACTTTGTTTTCAACCTCTTAAACCCTTAAATACAATCCCCTCCAATTAAAGGCCTTTTGAACTCTGTACTGAAATAACATGTGAATATTTTCCCAACTTATCAAATAGTGATGTTTTATTTGCAATTTGCAAGTATATAGATTGCTTTATTTTCAACCCAAATTGTTTTCATTTTTTTCCAAACCACAACAGTGGTTTCTGTGCTCAAATTTACTTACTGGACTTAATAATAACAACTGAGCTCAGCATAAACGCACCCTTTCAGTACAAAGATCTTATGACTTGAATACCATTTGTTTGACTATATAATGCGGTTTTGTGAGGAGAAATATCTTAATATGAATCATATCTAAAAAAAACTAGAAGATATCTCGTGCATTTACCGCAGACAAGCTGACAATAAAATATATGTTTTCTGTTAAAAGTGTAGCTTCTTCCTTAAGTAATTCTTGCAAAGTATCTAACAGAAGAGGAGTTAATAAATCTCATGGAAACGCCTGTAATTCACGTTTCTCAAGGAGAAATCTTCAAAGGCGGCTCAAATATGCTGAACAGTAGGGTGTGTAGTTCTGTGAAACGGACAACACTGTCCGTTTCACAGAACGGACAGTTCTGTGAACGGACAGTTCACAGAACTGTCCGTAATGCACTTAATGCATTAATGCATTAAGTGCATTAATGCTGATTAATGCACTTAATGCATTAATCAGCATTAAGTGCTGATTAATGCCGTTTTCTTTTCTTTCTTTTTTAGGGAGCGATGGTGGAGAAGCGTATCCTTGCAAAAGTTCACAGCCGCTTTATAGTGACGCTGGCTTATGCATTCCAGACCAAGACTGACCTTTGTCTGGTCATGACCATTATGAATGGGGGAGATCTCAGGTACTCTTTCTAAACATTCAGCAGGACTAGAGAGAAAGATGTCATGAAATAATCCTGCAGGCAAAAAGTTTTTTTTGAGATCAGAGTAAAATCCTTTCAATTAGGCTAAGCTAATATGCTAATTAAACAGATGTTATTGGCTGTGCTTTTAAGGATGTAAAATGACCTAAAAATGATTTCCTATATTTTTCCTGTAATCAGTATTACATCCGCTCTTCATTCCTCAGGTTTCACATGTATAACGTAGACGAGAATAATCCAGGTTTTGATGAGAAGAGAGCACGGTTTTACACAGCTCAGATTATCTGTGGGTTGGAGCATCTTCATCAGCACAGGATCATCTACCGGGACCTGAAGCCAGAGAACGTCCTGCTGGACGACGCAGGTCGGCCATTTAATCCCTCTCACTAAATGATTCGTGACTTTTCAATATTTAACTGTGTTGTCTGGCTCTCATCTCAAACATTGAAACCACAACCTTTGTGCTCAGGTCATGTCCGGCTGTCAGACTTGGGTCTTGCTGTTGAGCTTCCACCTGGAAAAGATAAAACTACAGGCTTCGCTGGGACTCCAGGTAAATGCGTAGTAATAAAAGTGCCCTCAAAATCTGTCCAGATAAAATAAATATTGCGTTGTAAGTTCAGGATCATCTTGCTTTTATTCCTAAAGGTTTCATGGCTCCAGAGTTGCTACAGAAGGTAGACTATGACTACACGGTGGACTACTTTACTTTGGGTGTCACAGTGTACGAGATGATTGCTGCTAAAGGTCCATTTAGAGTACGAGGAGAAAAGGTACTTTGTTCATTTGGTAGTTTTATCTATAAAGTTAAATCAAACAATCAAGTTTATTTGTCCAGCATATTGCAGCAGAAAGGCAGATCAAAGTGCTTTACATCATAAAAACACAAAATTACTTTTGGAGTTTTCAGACTTTAATTAGCTGAAATGGTGTAGATGAGAAGAATTGCTTCTATTTGTCATGTTAAGTTAGTGGTTTGTGAAGGACTCACAACAGCTGAGATTTAATGGAAAAACACACAGGAGGGACGGCAGCAACAGAATAACGAGAGATAATAGTGATTACTAGAGTCAACACATATGATGGTTCACTACTAGCAAAGTGAATGTCAGCCGTGAAGGGAACTGAGGTTAAACAGAAATACGAGAAATGACTGACCCAAAGCTGACAAAGAAATTCAGAAACAGGAAACATGAGCTTAGTTTAACACAGATCTCAAGGAAAGAGGCTACAGAATGAAACAGGGCAGAAGATCTAAAGAAAATGACAATTTCAACTTTAAACGTTTTTGAGCTTTACATCATGTTTTCATGTTATTCCCTCATCAAAAACATACCTGGAGTGTTTGAGAAATCCTTTAATCTCCCAGGGCAACCATTGAGATACGATGCAAAATGCCATGATGGATCTAGTGGCGCCTTAGACGTGCAGCTTCCGCCTCACAGAGCACTTTACCTCTACGACTCTTACACTCAGCTCCTTCAGACTAGCCAGCTGCAATTAGCAAACTCCTTCAGACTAGCCAGCTGCAAGGCGTAGTATATTACTATTACTGCGCATAGTAATATAAGAGCAACGTCTCAGTGAAATGCTGCTGTGATGACTTCCTGAAGGCAGAGTTTTAGAAAGAGCAGAAGTTTTTAAAGTGACTTCCAAGGCATTTAATTACCAAGTAAAACTTATTTTTTAGCCATATTCAAGTTTTTCTTTTCTACAGTTGCAGTTAACACAGTTACTTGATTGCTCTATAAAATGCCACTATTTGGCCTGGAAAACACTTAATACAACTTTAAAATTGACAGAATAAGGAAAGTGCAGAGTGACAGAAACCCACAAAGCCAAAGATGATAAAACCATATTTGTCTGTCAAATAAAATCCTAAAAATACACTTATAATTGTAACGTGACAAGGCAGCATATAAAAAGCGTTTTCTCTTTGTTCAGGTGGAAAATGACGAGGTTGCTAGAAGAACCTTGAATGATCCTGTTTCCTACCCGCCGAGCTTCAGCAAGGAAAGCAAGGACCTTTGTGAAGGTCTGATGGAGAAGGACCCGGCAAAACGACTGGGCTTCAAAGACAATGGATGCACAGAGCTCAAAAATCAGCCATTCTTCAAAGAAATTAACTGGGGCCGCCTGGAAGCAGGTCAAATCAAATGCGCTCAACTAAAATAAACATCTCTAATATGCAAATGGAAGTAGATTTAAAAAAAAAATGGATATGCTAAAGTAAAACTGATTAATCTCCCTTGATTTTCCATTTAAAAGGCATGCTGCTTCCACCGTTTGTTCCTGACCCCAAAATGGTCTACGCCAAAGACATCGATGAAGTGGGTGTGTTCAGCACAATCAAAGGCGTGGTCCTGGACGACAAGGACGCAGAGTTTTACAGTGACTTCGCTTCTGGAAACATCCCGATTCCCTGGCAGGAAGAGATGATAGAGACGGGCGTGTTTGGAGAAATGAACGTCTGGGGCGAGGGCGGCAAGCTGCCCAACGATCTCGACCCAAACTACGTCGAGGCCAAAGGCGGAGCCTGTGTGCTGCTGTGAGCGAGAGGCGGCTCCAGAGCAGGAGGAAGAAAATCTCACCGACTTAAGCATTAGCCGTTGTCTTGGAAAATGAAACTTTCGCTTATTTACTGGGAAGAGTGAACTGATAAACAAGGTTTCATTCATTCAGCAAATGTTATATTTATGGAACTGATAACAGTTTTCAGTGAAGAAGTTTTCTCTTCTCTTTCCAAATGAAATTCCTTTGAACCAGGTTTGATTAAGGGACAGAGGTACCAATTAACCAGAGATGGGAGAAACTTAGAGAAACTCCCTACAGGAGAGAGCTGGGTGGAAGGCACCACTGTGTTCGTGACTGATAAGATATAAAAGGAGAACTTCATGTGTTAAGCTTCACTTCTTCTTCTTCTTCTTCTTCTTCTTCTTCTTCTTCTTCTTCTTCTTCTCTCTTGCTTTTCTTTTCTCAGATGCTGATATTTATTTTCTAAATAAAATATCTAAAGACAAATGCGCATTTCTCTGATAGATTCAGTGTATCGCTCTCTCCCAAAACAAAAAATATTTTTCCTAAACCCCTTTTAGTGCATCTTAAGCACAACTGTATTTATTTTTTAGTCTATAAAATATAACACTGTTAAAGTATTATCAAACAAGCGTAAACGTGGCTACACTCAAATGAATATAATGTAAACTTATAAGATTATCTGCCACTGTTGTATGAATAAAAATGTCTATGTGCAGATGTTGTAGAAAATAATACTTAAAAGCATTTAATAAAAATGTGACAAGCAAAAATATATCCTGTCTTCCTCTGCTTAAATGGTTTGAAATTAAAATACATTTTTCCTTTTTCAATAGCAACATTGTTTAGTGAATACAAAAAAGGGGATTTGAATTAAATAAGGCCAAAAACTGTTTGTGTTCTTAGGATGCACTGTTTTTATTTCATTTATTTATTTTTTTTAATAATTATTATATTTCTTTTTTCTGGTTGTTTTTCATTGGAAATCCACACTGAACATAAACACTCGAGTCTGAACAATTCCCTATGATGATCTCTTAATCAAATTCTTTACATTATGTTGCATTTATTTTACATATATTGTATTAATCGTTTTTATTCCTTTTTTACTTTTATTTTTCACTAACTCTGTTTGAAGTTTTTGCGTACATTTTAAGATTTTCCATTTGCCTAAGGTGTTGTTACTTTGAAATGTTATGTAACAAGCTTTTCTTACTTATGTTCACAGCTATGTATTTGTTTTTTTAGCGCAAAGTTTTTTAAGGTGATTCTCAAGCAATCAAAAATTACTCGGAAAATAAAACTTTCGCTTATTTACTGGGAACTGATAATGAAGGTTTCATTCATTCAGCAAATGTTATATTTATGGAACTGATAACAGTTTTCAGTGAAGAAGTTTTCTCTTCTCTTTCCAAATGAAATTCCTTTGAACCAGGTTTGATTAAGGGACAGAGGTACCAATTAACCAGAGACGGGAGAAACTTAGAGAAACTCCCTACAGGAGAGAGCTGGGTGGAAGGCACCACTGTGTTCGTGACTGATAAGATATAAAAGGAGAACTTCATGTGTTAAGCTTCACTTCTTCTTCTTCTTCTTCTTCCTTCTTTTCTCAGACGTCATCTGTCTTAAAGACGTTTTGTGCTGCTCAAATCGTCACAGAATCATGATCAGAGAAGGAAAAAAAACCAACAACAAGGAAATACCACGAGCGATGGGGACTGAAGACTCCAAGGAATTTCTACCAATGATTAACATACTTGACTGAAGGAGACTAAATACATAACAATCATAGCAGCACATGCGCAATGAAGAAAAAATAGAGGTGGAAAAAAGGGTTATCATGCTAATCAGGACACAGGAAAAAAAAATCTGAAAACGAGTCAAAGCCAGCCTGCAGACAGTTCAGCACAAACCTGTAAGAAAATGGTAGGCAGGGAATATACTGAATGCTATAACCAACTGCATGGTATAATGTGCAAAATATGTCCTGTAAGACCCACAGTCAGTGGTGAAGACTGACAGACAGAACAACCAGACAAAAGTGGACAAGAAAGCATTAGGGGAAAAAGTGAGGAGAAAAATAAATAAAATTAAAAGTTAGCTGCATAAAGTCTAAAGAAAAAGAAAAGTTTTTCAGGAGTTCCCATTTCACCTGAAAACTCATTATGATTTTCCAGGAACAACCTGTGACATTTCTAGATCAGTGGTTTCCTTTAACCCCACAAAGTCTTGAAGTAACCTTCACTCTTTAATGTCTTGCACTCATTAAAATGCAGACAAGCAAACACCATTACAGCATGAAGGTGTGGTTCACAAGCTCTTAGCCAGACACGTGCGAGACGTGGACTGGCACCATAAAGCGAGCATAATGCAGAATCAGCACATACGGGTGAGTATCAATGATAATGGTTGTTTTAAATCACATCAGACAAGTGATAATAAGTAAAACAAATATGTAAACATAATATTACTTTCACTGATTTACAGTTTCTGAGTCGTTTTGATGTGCAGAAGTATCTAAATTATTATCTTTTATGTCAGGAGAAACTTAAGAATACAGTTTTAGCAAAACTAGAACAAAATCCAACTCAGAAAAAGCAGAAAACTTGATCCACTGGCATTTTTCTTTTCTTTCAGGGATATTTGGCCAAGGGCTATTATTTCATAATTACTTAGGAAATAATTAGAGACTAAAGTACCGCAGTAAAAAACATTATACTTCAATTCATAATTTATTACATCATTCCAAACAGTAACTCAAACTAAATGCTAAACCTGGACAGCTGAAAAGGTTCAACGCTCTTTGAATCGGTCTTAAATTTTACACAAGATGTTAAGATTTGCACAGAAAGTGCAAACATTGTATCAAACTGGGATATGAAAAATACATATATGTGTATATATCACCACAAATTACCAGAACATTTCTCAGATGTATATTATAAACCCAGATCAGACCAGCTGTTCACAACAAAAGGCTGAATATGTAAACTATTTAAGAAAGACCCGTACTGAAGCACTGGCCTCACCGAAACTCAGTCTGCAAATACAGATCCATTAGTTTGACACAAAGGTGACAGTGATTGATCAGTTTTAGCTGAGCACATAAATGACTCATAAATCTAAGTACAGCTGGGAGAAAATTTAACAAACGCTTTCCTTCTTCAAGACCCAAACGTCTAAAACTCTGGAAAGTCCCAAAATCCTAAAATTTAAAACACAAGGAAAGAAAAACCTTTTCATTCAGACTATTAATGAAGATGTTGTTGGTGTGGAAATGCAGCAATTAAGAAGTGAGCACTGCTCACTTCAGGTGATGATGCACATAATTCAGTTGTGCAGTAAATGGTTCCTGTAGATGATGGAGAACATGTGAATTCGTAGTAGACCCAATAATAAATGGTTCTGAAGCATCTTTGTGTTCTTCATGTCTCATGTTTTCCTTAAGGTGGATGAAATCAAAATATAAATAGTTCCAGATGCCTGTCAGTTTCAGCCCCAAATTTTCAGGTGTATGGTGGAAAAAGATCAGAAGGGAATTTATTTTTCACCCTCCCACTGAGTCCAAGCAGAAAGATAAGAAATGTTTGGCTTTGTAAGAGCCAAACCCGAGTCCACAGCTAAATCTGTCAGAAAATCAGAAGACAGGAAATGATTGAGTTGGAAAAATCTTCCAAGCCAAAGTGAGCAAATATTACCAAGTCAAAATGTGGGCTGTGATAATAAAATACTACAAAAAAAAACAAACAAAAAAAAAACAACAAAAAAAAACAGGTGACTCTGAATCTAAATGTGTTTCAACGGAGTAATAGCAGTTTAAAAGTGTTCACACACATTCAACTACTTTCTTTTTATGCGTTACATTTTTCCACCACATTTGCATGCTTGCTGTTTGTGAGATGAAATTTACACACTGACAGGATTTATTGTTTGTTGTCATTTTATCTTGCCCTTTAATTTCACAATATGAATAGGTAATGCAAAAATCTTTAATTACCATAATAATAATAAAAAATAATCTGCTTCAGTGTAAAGAACGCTGCTGGTTTCAGTAGGAGGATTGTTTCAGTCCACCTTTTGTTTAGTTCGGTAATATGTCCTGTCAAATGCAGGTGGTTGGTTGTTTGAAAGGAAGGCACCTTTAAGCTTCTTACTATGACGTTTCACATGAGTCAGTAACAAATAAAAAAAGAAAATCTGGGAATAAACTGAACGCCTGTATCAGCTTAGATTGTCAGAAGAGACTGAGTCATCACACAGCTGATAAGGTAATTACAAATAAAGATGGTGTCACATGCAGTACATGGATCCGACTCATCGGCCATTTGTAATCAAAGCTTGACACAACTGTGCATTTATCTGACACACCCCGTCTTTCCTTCAGCAAATACAATTTCCTACATATTATAGAAACCTAACAGCTCACACACATGTAGACGCCTCGTTACCTGACACAGTTTATACTGTAACTATGTGCAATAACTGATTTCACTGACATCAGCAAAAACAAAAAAAAAAAAAAAAAATCCCTAGATGAGATTAAGAGCTTCCACTTAAACTCAACATTGTTCATGCCTTGAGGTTGGCGCAAACCCCGCAAGGTTGCCAGGATTTAAAATTGAGGAGGTCAGTGCGGACATGAGTGCATAAACAATTCAGATAACAGAAGTGAGGGATAAAATAATAAAACATTAACAGGCTAATGATTAGGAGCCACACTTAATACCTGTTTCACACTGTAAGCACTGTACGACAAAGCACTTTGAACCGCTTTTTTTTTTTAAGACAAGAACTCCCCTGCGATAAGATACAGACTATAAATAAAGAGTTTAAAGTTTATACTAAACAAAGATTTGTCTAAGTGGATTCAGTAGGCAAACATCTCCGCTTCCTTTAAGCAGTCACATTGGTAGAAATCTGAAGAGTTTTGTTGAATTTGTCTATGTTTGATAGTCATAAAAGATGAATTATGAGAGGGTTTCAGAAGAGGCCGGTCACGGTCAAGTTTTAACCAAAAGAACGCAAAGTAGTAAATAAAAAGAAAAATAAGAAAAAAGAAAGCCTAAAGATTTAGTCAATGCATCTATTGTCTTGCAGCAAAACCTATCAATGGTTAACCGGTGTAAAAAAAAAACTAAAAAAAAAACTCTTTCTGCCTTCAATATATCACTTACACACTTCAGTCAGCTCTCTCTGTTTGCTCTGTCCTCAGTTTAGTGTTTCCCCTTATGCAAGTATTTGCTTTTGGATGTTGAAATAACCTTCTTTAAAATTGAAGCTACCAAATTAGTCATCGAAAGGGCAAAGGGCAGAAGAAGATGATTTGATTAAACAAATGAGAATCTTCAGATTAAACTTGCGCAACAATATAATAATGCAAGTCATAGTTAAAAGAAAAAAAAAAAAAAAA